TGATCTTTCAACACAGACTCTGAAAGCTAGAAGATCCTGGAATAACATATTTCAAACACTGAAAGATAATGGGTTCCAACCAAGAATTGTGTATCCAGCGAAATTAAGCTTCAGGATGGAGAATGAAATTAAAACCTTCCACGATAAACAAAAGTTTAAAGAATTCGCAGCTAGAAAACCATCTCTTCAAAACATCCTAGCCAAAGTATTACAGGAAGAGGAAATGGAAAATAACAATGAAAACCAACAGTGGGAGGTAGGACAGTAAAGGGGGGGGGAAACAATCAAAGAGGAAAACAAACAATGTTTAGTAACAGAAATAAACAAATATGGCTGGAAGAACAACCCATATCTCAATAATAACCCTAAATGTTAATGGCTTAAACTCACCAATTAAGAGACACAGGCTAGTAGAATGGATCACAAAACAAGACCCAACAATATGCTGCCTACAGGAGACGCATTTGATAGGAAAAGACATACATAGGCTGAAGGTGAAAGGTTGGGAAAAATCATATCACTCATATGGACTTCGGAAACAAGCAGGCGTGTCCATACTCATATCAAATAAAATAGATTTCAAGCCAAAGTTAATCAAAAGAGATAAAGAGGGACACTACATACTGCTTAAGGGAACCATACACCAACAAGACATAACAATCATAAATATTTATGCCCCAAACAATGGTGCAGCTATGTTCGTCAAACAAACTCTTCTCAAGTTCAAGAGTCTAATAGACCACCACACCATAATCATGGGAGACTTCAACACACCTCTCTCGCCACTGGACAGATCTTCCAAACAAAAGTTGAATAAGGAAACTATAGAACTCAATAACACTATTAATAACCTAGACCTAATTGACATATATAGAGTATACCACCCAACATCAAGCAGTTACACTTTTTTCTCAGCAGCACATGGATCCTTCTCAAAAATAGATCATATATTATGTCACAGGGCAACTCTTAGACAATATAAAGGAGTAGAGATATTACCATGCATCTTATCTGATCATAATGGAATGAAACTGAAAATCAACGATAAAAGAAGGAAGGAAAAAGCATACATCACTTGGAGAATGAACAATAGGTTACTGAATGATCAATGGGTTATAGAAGACATCAAGGAGGAAATTAAAAAATTCTTAGAGATAAATGAAAACACAGACACAACATATCGGAATCTATGGGACACATTGAAAGCAGTTCTAAGAGGAAAATTCATTGCTTGGAGTTCATTCCTTAAAAAAAGAAAAAACCAACAAATAAATGATCTCATACTTCATCTCAAAATCCTTGAAAAAGAAGAGCAAAACAACAGCAAAAGAAGTAGAAGGCAAGAAATAATTAAAATCAGAGCTGAAATTAATGAAATCGAAACAAAAGAAACAATTGAAAAAATTGACAAAACTAAAAGTTGGTTCTTTGAAAAAATAAACAAAATCGACAGACCCTTAGCGATGCTAGTGAAGAGAAGAAGAGAGAGAACTCAAATTACTAGCATACGGGATGAAAAAGGCAATATCACAACAGACACTTCAGAAATACAGAAGATAATCAAAAACTATTTTGAATCCTTATACTCCAATAAATTAGAAGATAGTGAAGGCATAGATAAATTTCTTAAGTCATATGATCTGCCCAGATTGAGTCAGGAGGATATAGAAAACCTAAACAGACCAATATCAATTGAGGAGATAGAAGAAACCATCAAAAGACTACCAACTAAGGAAAGCCCAGGTCCCGATGGGTATACAGCAGAATTTTACAAAACCTTTAAAGAAGAACTAATACCAATACTTTTCAAGCTACTTCAGGAAATAGAAAAGGAGGGAGAACTTCCAAATTCATTCTATGAGGCCAACATCACCCTGATACCTAAACCAGACAAAGACACTTCAAAGAAAGAAAACTACAGACCAATATCTCTAATGAACCTAGATGCAAAAATCCTCAATAAAATTCTGGCGAATCGGATACAAAAACATATCAAAAAAATTGTACACCATGATCAAGTAGGATTCATCCCTGGGATGCAAGGCTGGTTCAATATACGGAAATCAATAAATGTTATTCACCACATCAATAGACTTAAAAATAAGAACCATATGATCATCTCGATAGATGCGGAAAAAGCATTTGACAAAGTACAGCATCCCTTTATGTTCAAAACTCTAGAAAAACTAGGGATAACAGGAACATACCTCAATATTGTAAAAGCAATCTATGCTAAGCCTCAGGCTAGCATTATTCTGAATGGAGAAAAACTGAAGGCATTCCCTCTAAAATCTGGAACAAGACAGGGATGCCCTCTCTCTCCACTTCTCTTCAACATAGTTCTCGAAACACTGGCCAGAGCAATTAGACAGACGAAAGAAATTAAAGGCATAAAAATAGGAAAAGAAGAAATTAAATTATCACTATTTGCAGATGATATGATTCTATATCTAGCAGACCCAAAAGGCTCTACAAAGAAACTGTTAGAGCTAATAAATGAATTCAGCAAAGTGGCAGGATTTAAAATCAACACGCATAAATCAAAGGCATTCCTGTATATCAGCGACAAATCCTCTGAAATGGAAATGAGGACAACCACTCCATTCAAAATATCTTCAAAAAAAATAAAATACTTGGGAATCAACCTAACAAAAGAGGTGAAAGACTTATACAATGAAAACTACAGAACCCTAAAGAGAGAAATAGAAGAAGATCTTAGAAGATGGAAAAATATACCCTGTTCATGGATAGGCAGAACTAACATCATCAAAATGGCGATATTACCAAAAGTTCTCTATAGGTTTAATGCAATGCCAATCAAAATCCCAATGGCATTTCTTGTAGAAATAGAGAAAGCAATCATGAAATTCATATGGAAAAATAAAAGACCCAGAATAGCAAAAACAATGCTAAGCAAGAAGTGTGAATCAGGCGGTATAGCGATACCAGACTTCAAACTATACTACAGAGCAATAGTAACAAAAACAGCATGGTACTGGTACCAAAACAGGCGTGTGGACCAATGGTACAGAATAGAGGACACAGAAACCAATCCACAAAACTACAACTATCTTATATTTGATAAAGGGGCTAAAAGCATGCAATGGAGGAAGGATAGCATCTTCAACAAATGGTGCTGGGAAAACTGGAAATCCATATGCAACAAAATGAAACTGAATCCCTTTCTCTCGCCATGCACAAAAGTGAATTCCAAATGGATCAAGGAACTTGATATCAAATCAGAGACGCGCCGTCTGATAGAAGAAAAAGTTGGCTACGATCTACATACTGTGGGGTCGGGCTCCAAATTCCTCAATAGGACACCCATAGCACAAAAGTTAATAACTAGAATCAACAAATGGGACTTACTCAAACTAAGAAGTTTTTTCTCAGCAAAAGAAACAATAAGAGAGGTAAATAGGGAGCCTACATCCTGGGAACAAATCTTTACTCCTCACACTTCAGATAGAGCCCTAATATCCAGAGTATACAAAGAACTCAAAAAATTAGACAATAAGAGAACAAACAACCCAATCAACAAATGGGCCAAGGACCTGAACAGACACTTCACAGAGGAGGACATACAGTCAATCAACAAGTACATGAAAAAATGCTCAACATCTCTAGCTGTCAGAGAAATGCAAATCAAAACCACCCTAAGATACCATCTCACTCCAGTAAGATTGGCAGCCATTAGGAAGTCAAACAACAAGTGCTGGCGAGGATGTGGGGAAAAGGGTACACTTGTACATTGCTGGTGGGACTGCAGATTGGTGCAGCCAATTTGGAAAGCAGTATGGAGATTTCTTGGAAAGCTGGGAATGGAGCCACCATTTGACCCAGCTATTCCCCTTCTTGGTCTATTCCCTAAAGACCTAAAAAGAGCATGCTACAGGGACACTGCTACATCGATGTTCATAGCAGCACAGTTCACAATAGCAAGACTGTGGAACCAACCTAGATGCCCTTCAATAGACGAATGGATAAAAAAAATGTGGCATTTATACACAATGGAGTATTACTCTGCATTAAAAAATGACAAAATCATAGAATTTACAGGGAAATGGATGGCATTAGAGCAGATTATGCTAAGTGAAGCTAGCCAATCCCTAAAAAACAAATGCCAAATGTCTTCTTTGATATAAGGAAAGTAACTAAGAACAGAGTAGGGACGAAGAACAGGAGAAGAAGATTAACATTTAACAGGGATGAAAGGTGGGAGGGAAAGGGAGAGAGAAGGTAAATTGCACGGTAATGGAAGGAGACCCTCAGGGTTATACAGTGGAGGGGGTAGAGAGAGAGGAGGGGAGGGGAGGGGAGAGGTGGGGAGGGGGGAGGGTGGATGATGGGAAAGGCAGCGGAGCACAACAGACACTAGTATGGCAATTTGTAAATCAATGGATGTGTAACTGATGTGAATCTGCAATCTGTGTATGGGGTGAAGGTGGGAGTTCATAACCCGCTAGAATCAAAGTGTGGAATATGATATGTCAAGAAATTTGTAATGTTTTGAACAACCCACAATAAAAAAAAAAAAAAAAAAAAAAAAAAAAAAAAAAGTTGATTGCTACTTATTTGTGACAACATGCAGTGCACATGCTAATAGATACCTTTTGAAGTCCATGAGTTCCAGTGTGATATAAACCTTAAGTTCTGAAATTACCTTAAGAGAAAAAAACTTCAACCTAAATATTCTACATTTTCTAGTCCTAATAACTACCAGAAATATACAAAAACTAGATATATTGAAGTCCCTGGGGTTTTGTGATAGTGAGTGATGGATGTCTCTACAGTTAAAATAGTTCTTTAAGTGGAAGCTTCGCTGGGGCATGTGGAGAGTCCAAACCGCATCCCCACAGCAGCCTTGTCAGACTCTCCTTTTGTTCCCAAAGTTGTCATTGGTGTGCCAAGTGTCATCACTGACTGCTGTTTCAAACAGCTGCAGGTGTCTGGGCCTGAGCTTTGTGCTCACTGTGGTGTTCATTTGTGTTTCTCTGCAGTTGGAAGGGCACAATATCTTCTCCACCCTGAGCTCCAGTGAGTACGAGCAGGTGCTGGAGATCATCCGCAAAGCCATCATCGCCACTGACCTTGCCCTTTACTTTGGGAACAGGAAACAGTTGGAAGAGATGTACCAGACTGGATCTCTAAATCTCCATAATCAGTCGCATAGGTAAAAATGATTTTACAAAGTTTAGAAGCCCAGGAAGTATTATCTGGAATTAATTGATATTTAAGAAATGTAATTTGGCATAAGTTTTTATTTGACAGAAGAAATGTAAGATGATTTGCTTTTCTGTTTCATGTGTATATTGTTAAATGTTTATTTTGGATATTTCCCTCTTTTTGGCTGGGGCAAAATTTCTGATAATGTACTGGTAGGATAATTAAAATAGAGATGAAAACTAGCCTCTCCAAAGCAGGTGCCTTTAAAGGGAAAGGTTTTGCCTTGAGTTCACCAGAGCTTGGGGTTTGGTCAAAACCTCCTAGACCCCAAAGTACATGAAAATGGATTCACTTTTCAGAATCCAGATCTTATCCACAAAGCTAATGTGATTAATATATAAAACTGGAATTTCATTGTATTAATCTTCAAACATGTTGAAGCACAAGGACAAAAATATTGGCATTTTTTGTGATCAGAATCATTTAGGAAGCCAAGTAGCAATCATAAGTTTGTTGATGAACATGGAATCAGAACAAGTAAAATTAGATTCATTGTATCTTCTAATGGCATTGGGCTAAAATAGTCTGATGCTTTTTTGTCTGAGGACTAGCATCTTGCCTAGGGGATTCAGAACCATGTCAGATATGTTCCTCACGAATTGGCCACTGATCTGTTGCTTATCTGCCTCGCCCTGGGCAGTTCATTGGTGGTTGCCACCAGCTTTTACTGCTGTTACTTCCCTGTGGTGTTTCCAGGTCTGAGCAGTGCATCTCCAGTGATGCCAACTCTGTTGTTAAGTTTATGAACATTGTTTATTGGCTTGGTGCCAGTCTGCTCTCTTAGTTCTTTCTGTGATCCATTCTTTCCAGAGCACAGTTTCTTTTTTTCAAATTCTTGGAAGAAATTTATTCATGCACCCCAAATGCCGCACATTAGTTTTTATAAATGGACATAAATATCTAATAAAGTTTACCACTTCAAGAATAAATATCATTTTATAGATGTCTTTGATTAAGCAACAGTATTTGTGATTCACTTTACCTTCAAACAGACATGTCCAAATTTTTTAGAACTTGAAGCTTATACAACTTGGGGATTTTTTAAAAGAGAAATTCAAGACATTTTATTTTCACATATAGCATATTTCATATTTTCACATATAACAGGGCCCCTCCCAGGACCATGCAAGGGGTCAGTGCCAGGGAAGGGCCTAGATGGTGTTCTGGCACATCCTCCTCCGCCTTCCCCCTGTGAGATATGTACTGTTACTTCCTCTATCCATCAGGTTATGTGTAGTTCTTGTACTGACATCTGCAGAAACAGGTGATTGTTCACAGTTCTCTCTTTTTTTTTTTTGATGACAGTTATAAGTTTAGGAAAATATAGCCTTCATAAAGTATTGTTATGGCTTCCTGAAACCCAAATGCTTTCTTTTATTCCTTGAACCATATTATTTTTAGCTGAATTTTTATAATAATTATAATTGTCATTATAGAATTGAATTCTTAAGCATGTAATTGTACAATATTATTTGGGGCTTAAGGCATACATATTTGGTGTTAGTAAAATATATCATATGATTTTGTGTAACTAAGTAATTTTGACACAGTAATTTTAAAAGCAATTAATGCTTGTTTGTTTTAATAATTTAGAATGTAGAGGTGTTCATGGGAAAAGAAATAATTGAGCTATTTCACTTTCCAATACCAGTTATTTTCTGTAATACCATCCGTGCACCTTTCTGTGTTTTCAAAGGTGTGTGTTTATACAGTATATACAGTGCATACATGCCCATGTGCTTTTTATCTTTCCATTTTTTTAAAACAAAAAATGTAATTATACTGTATTCATCCCTTTTAAAATTGTGTAACAATACGTATGGAGTACTATATCAAATATTTTTCCATATTGATGGCCAGTGTTTCTAGAATTTTGCATTATACATTAATGCTGCAGAAACTCTGGCTTGATTCTTTAAAAAGTACTGATTCTTTAAAAAGTATGCAACATATATTGCTAGAAATTTATGGGCAAATTACGTTTCTTTTCATATTTAGTTTTCTAAAAAAAATCACAACCCTTCAAACATAAGGGTGAAAACATTTCTCAATAAACATGCCATTCTAATTGCTTCCTGTGATGAACATATTGTCATGTTAGTTTGTGATTTATTACTCAGACTTCTGTGTATCTGTTCATAATGTTTAGTTATTTTTTGATGAGTTGTTCACTTTCAATAGATATTTTTACATTCTTCATTTTTTTTGCTGAGGATATTAATATTTTCTGTGATATAATGCAAATATTTTCTTCAGGTGATTTTCAAAAATTTTATTTAGATTTTCTTTCTTCTTTTTTTGTTGTGGTGTTGGGGATCAGACCCAAGAGCCTTGTGCATGCTGGGCAAGTGCTCTACCACTGAGTTGTATTAGTTTCATGAAGCCAAATATGTCATCATTTGTTTTGATTAAATCTCACATCAATATAAAAAGTATATAAACTTTGTGTATTTTTCTAGTTTAAAATTTTATATTTACATTTTACTTCTTCAAGAGTTGTATTTTTATGAAAATAATTTATCCTTGATAGTTGAAATATCAGTATCACTTAATGAATAATTAATTGTTTCATTGAATTGAATATATTAAGTTTTTTACAAATATGGATCGTTTTTTGACTCCTTAGCTATTTATTGCTAATTAGCTGATCCTTAAATACAATTGCTCTGTTTTGATAACTGTTACTATGTCAAAATTTATATTATATACCCAGTAAAAGAATCCTAACCCTTGCATTTATTTTGGAAAACAGAATTAATGGACATTGTTACTTAGGAAATTTACTTAATGAGTGTTTTTTACAGTAATTTTCAAATGTATTATACACCAGTTTTCAAAGATATTTTCACTGGATGTAGAATTCTAAGTCTTCAGATTTCCTTTTCTTCAGCATTTATAAAATGTTCAATGTTCTTCTGTCTTCATCTTTTTGGTTTTTCCTGATGAGAATCAGAGGTCATTCTTATTGTTATTCTCCTATGTACAGTGTGCCATTTTACTCTGGATGCTTTTTGTTTTTAGATGGAAGTGTTTAGTTCTCAGATTTTTCTTTGGCCTATCATTGTATCCAAATACGCATTTTCTTAAAGATTCTTAAACATACCTGTGAGTTATTTAGAAATCCTTGCCTACTTTCCATAATCTGAGTTCTTTGTAAGTTCATCTTTATATCTCATTTCCCTCTGGACCATTTCCTGTCTCTTTGCATGTGTAGTCACTTATTTGTGTACTACACTGTGGATGATATGTTCAGTTATCTTACTAGATTCTGTTATCTTTCTCTGAAGATAATTAACTTCTATCCTAGTAGTCAATTAACTATCCTTAAATCACTCTGCATTTATTAATGAGTTACTTTAAGCTTTATTTGAGTGGTTCTCTTCCTGATGTAGCTACGTCTTCCTGTCAAGGATTGGAGAGGTCAGGGGTTTCAGGGGAATGTGAATGCCGATTTGGAGGCTTCTGCCTTTGTGGCTCCTTCTCCTTTCTTGAATTCTCTCAACTTTTGTGTGCTCTGGTGGCCCCAACTCTGCTGTGTGCTATTTACCCCATGTTCTTAGGACAAGACTGTGTAAGTCTGGCCCCTCACACAGTTATGTCATTGGTTGAAGCTGACCTCTGCCCTCCGTTAGGTATGTCATAGTGCTTTCACGTAGTCATCTTCTTTTAGAATTGTTCACAGGCTATCATTGTTTTTTTTGTTATTAACCAGAATTCTGAATCTTTGTTTTGTGCCTAGCCATTTATTATGTTTTCTTAATCAGTTGAAGATTTATTTTACTCTATTGGTCTAAGGTACAAATATAAATACAATTAATTTTTTACATATTTTGCTTTCTCGTCATACTGGTTAGCTGGTAAAAAATATTGGATGGTGGTGAAGAAAGCCATATCTAAAATGTACATGATTTTAGTAGCAATTATTTTAGAATTTTAAATTTAGTAAAATATTTGATCTATCTTAGTAAAGTACCACATCTAATATGTGCAAAATTTTAATAGCAATTATTTTATTATTTTAATTTTGATAATAACATTTGATATATTTTAATAAATCATTTTTATTTTTTCTGTTCTTGGTTTAAACTATTTTTTATTAAAAACTTGTAGCTATAGAGATTTTCACTAGTTTCTAGTGTTTAGTATTACTGATTCCATATTTTATTGATAGGTGTTTATATTTTATAATTTTGTGCTACTGCTAAATTCCTTGAACTCTATACTTTTCCATGGAATTCATCTTTTAATACACCAAGGTAATACATTTTCTATCTTTTCTAATAAATTTGTACCTAATTCATAATTTAAATATGTTTGTTGTATTTTACACTAATTCAATTTATTCCTAGTTATTGAATTTGCTCTGATCTGGAGGAGTAAAAATAACTAAGGTTAACAATTTTGAGAAAGTTCAGTAGTGTGAATTTGCAAAACTACTATAGTCTGCCACCTTTCCCAGCGGAGGACATTAACAGACATTCAGATGTCTTAAGGTCAAGGGGATTTCTGTTTTTGTTTTGTTTTGATTTTTGTTTTGTTTTGTTGTCACTTTATCCCACTTTTGGGGCAGTTTATTTTTATAGAAAGTCATCTTGCTCTTTCCAAATTCTTACTAAAGTATTTGCAAAAAGTGTTCTCATTTAAATTTAATCCTACTATATTCATAGTTACTTTAATTTTCAGTGCTTCCTTCCTTTGTTTCTGTAATCATACTTGCCTGGGATATTTTTATTTTAATTATTCTGTTTTTAAACTAGTTTTTATAAAATTCATCATTTCTTGCTTGTTTGCCCCTCCATTAATTTTGACCTTCATCTTTATGTCTTTTTTATACTCAGTTGTCCTTTTCGTGTGTTTTTTAAATTGGATAATAACAAAATGATCAGGTGTTGTCATTGGTGAACTAATTGCATCATACTTGCAGGTGTTTGGTGAAGTACTTTCCTT